ATCTATCTATCTATCTATCTATCTATCTATCTATCTATCTATCTATCTATCTATCGATCTATCTATCTATCTATCTATGTCCGTCTGTTTGAACCTGTCGAAGATGATCACCCATTTTCGAGGAGAAAATTGGTCTTCCTAGACAAACAGGTGGTCCTCTTGTACAATGTCATTGCAATACTAATATAGAAAAAAAAACCGCAAGGGGGGTGAGTTGAAAGTTATTATTTGTACTGTTGATTATATCGGACAGGTGATTGTTGGAGCTTAACAACACCACTGCGCTTCGTGGTCGTCTAGACGCGTCATTCAAATGAAGAGCCAAATCTGAACTGGGTCAGTGTTTGTTCTACATAGGAGAACCCCCCCCCCCGCACTCCCCGCACTCCCCGTACCCACACCACTTCCCTAGGCCATGCACATGACTTATAGGGTAACATGACACTAGGCCTTATAGCGGTCTTCCGTCATCGTGTCCGCTATTAACATTTCTCTCCGTCGCCCTTGTTTCCTGATCAACTGTCTCAGTGGGTGATTAGGGAAGCGAGAACCTAGAACAATGGACAGGCCCTGGAAACTTCTATTCTAGAACATTGGACTAGTTACACACATACCAAAAAAAAAAAAAAAGACCAAACAAAAAACCACAGGAAAAAAAATCTCCTTTTTTCTTAAAAGAGTATTTCCCCGCAAGTTGGCGATTCTCAAATGAAAGGAGGGATCAACAGAAAGTGTTATTTCTGACTCATTTCTGACTCATTTCTCCCTCATTTTTAACTTATTTCTGCCTCATTTTTGACTAATTTCTGACTAATTTCTGGCTCATTTCCGTTTTAATTGTGTCTAAACTTTTATATACTTTGTATTTAATTTTTGTATCATTTCTGTTTTAATTGTGTAACATTTATCTCATTTTTGTTTCATCTCGGTCGCACTTTGTACAACGTCTGTCTCGTTTCTGTTTCTTTTCTGCTAGATTTGTCAGTCAGAGAGCCGAAACAATCATCTGATCTCTGTCACGGTGTGTCTCTGCGTGGGGTGGCTGTCTTGAATTTAAATCCTCCCTCAGTGCGAACACAAAGAACGGTCTCATTTTTTCTGGTTATTTTTCTAGTTTTTTGTTTTATATTTTGTGTTTTGTGTTTTTGTAAGGAATTGGGGGGAG